AGGCGATATCTCGTTTGTGGGTTGGGACCAGCGCTGGTACTGCCCCGGGTTATGCAGATTAATATGATATAAAAGGTAGTCCGCCAATGTGACCGGTGAAATAACTGAATCTTTCACGCAACCACAGAGAGCCAACTTCAGCATTTTCTCCGCATCCGGCACATAGGGCATGAAAACCCCCGGAGTGTCCAAAACATAAACATGTGCTCCATTGTCCCGCTCAATGATCTTGACGGGTGTCCCGATCTTCCGTGTAATACCAGGCTGGCCTCCCGTCTGCACGGCCTTGGCCTTTCTTACGCCTTGGTTGCGCAGATTGTTGATCAGGGTGGACTTGCCGACATTTGGCATTCCAACAACCATCACGCGACAGCCGACGAGCTTATCAGGTCCTTCAGCATCATTTCGCAAATGTGCCAGAATCGAACTGACATCCGCTCGGGAAAAGGAGCTGACAAAAAACACGGCACTACTCGAATCAAACTTCTTAATAGTTTTTTCGGCCTGCATATAGAATCACCCGTCAGCATTATGACAATTATGAGCTAAACTTCGATCCTGGACTTACCGTTTGCTGTGCAGATGATCGAGGCTCCGCACCCAGGTCCCTCTTGGTGTAAACTACTAACCGCCTTGTCTTTCCCAAAGCCTCTTCAAACATGGGGTTAATAGACGTTACGGGTACTCTGTAGTCACGGCACTCGATAACATAGTCAATAGAAGATAGCATGTTCTGCATCTTTTTCAATCCGGCTCTGTGATGGCCAAGATAATATGATCTTGGAATGGAGGCATAGCTGGGAAATGCCTGCCTTGGAATGAATTTGGCTGCCATCACAAGCAAGTAGACCACTTAACTGTAGATCTGTAAAAGTGATCTGTAGAGATTATGAGGTGATTATGTCTTGAACATTATTGAGATGAGAGGTGACTAAAGTGTGAGAAGAAGGAATGCATTGCTGTCCCTGTCGACATGCTGAGATGATCTGCACCTCTTTGTGCCTTTTTTCAGCTTGACAGAAGTAGTGAAAGCGGTGAAAGAGGCGGTGGTGTTATCTCAAAACATGATAAGAATGATACGAAAGATAAGAAAGATAGGAAGCGGGACAGTTGCCTTATCTGGGCTGACACTCTTCCAAGGAACACCAAGGACACCAAGGATATCTGAACCAATTCGAAAATTTCATGAATTCACTAGCTCAACGTCCTGTTGAATACTAGCCATGAGACAATATGACACGAAACGTTCGGAAAGACCGGCGGCGCAGAGGCAAAGCGGCGAACGGTGGACGTTGAAATGCTTGTTCACCTGGCCGTACCAATATTTATTCTGTAGCACCTTCGCATTATAGCATTGGAGGACGGAAACACGAATGGCTTTGAAGAAGTCAATTTAGAGGACGATGATTAGGCTGAGATTGTGTTTCCGATTCCCGTTGACGAAAACGCTACGGCGCAGAGTACAATATACTGCCATTCTTAGAATTTATTTTCTTAATGATGCATATAGAAGTAGAGGAAGATCAGTATAGAACAGAACTTCTATACAGGGTATCATTCAGCAAATTCTCATGCCATCCGTCCGTAACTCCTGAGTACATTGAACATGTCATGCCAACTTGAGAAAATGAAAACCACAATTTGATACTAGTCCAAGTCAATCTAAACGTACCTCTACGCTCTCCAACCCTGTACAAATTCATGTAGCCGATCGATGACCACACCGAATATGGCATTGACGCTGTCGCCGATGAGTTGCTCGAAATGCCGGATGGCCTCCTCTTCTGTCATCTCGAGGTGGAACCTTTCCTTGACTTTAAATACAGCCTTGTCCGGTTCGACACGAATGTCAGGGATGTTGGCGTCGACCATCAGACTGAACAAATTGAGTATCAGGTTCGCCGATTTGCGCAGGGTAGTGTACGCAGTGAAGCAGTACTGCTTGAACTGGAGGTATTGAGGCGAGGTTGTACCACCCATACCTTCCACCATTTCCTTGCACAGTTTCATCATGGGAGCGAAGGGTTTGGGATCTCGACCCAAAATAAATCCGAAATCTGCGTGGAAAAAGTGACCGTCTGGTGCAAGTAGAAGATTCTCCAAGTGTCTGTCTCCAACACCGAGAAGGTAGGTGATGACACAATATCCAGCACAGGACTTAACATAGGTATCCATGGTTTCCTTGCGGACACCAAGGGGTTCGTTCTCGTCGGGATTGTTTGCCTGGAGATAAGCAAGGACTGATTTGTACTTGGCAGAGACGGCGGAGAGCGAGGTTGACGGTATGAATTGCACAGCGCCAGCTGTAGCATTCGTCGCGAGGATACGGTAAGGGGTGAGCTTAAGGTCTAGATTCTCCTTCTGCAGTAGACGGTCCATTAAGATGATAATCTGGATGACAAGTTGATCTTGCCGGAGGTCATCACCGACTTTGAACAGAATGGGATACTTGCGTCCCTCAGAAGTCTTGAAGGTAATGTGCAATGGTGACAACGAGGACTTGAACACATTAGATTCTTCCGGAAAGCAACCTGTCACCAACACTTCTGGATCCAATGGAAGAGGTAGTGGAGGATCGATATGGACGAGTTCGTTCTTGGGATCTTTCAAGTACTTTTTCAACTTTTCGATCTTCAGAGGTCGCGTCTCCCGAGCGAAGCGGATATCCTTGGCAATCTTCGTGAGTATAGCGACAAGCTCACCCTGCCGCAGTAGTGTCTTCCTGTGTTCTGGGGAGACCTGTTCGAGCTCGGCCATGAAGTAGTATTCTACTCGAGCAAAAAGTCTGCGTTGAGTGGACAGGGTGCCGGGGCTAGTATCGTCACATTCAACCATGAGATACCAATGCAGATAGCTTCCAAGTTTGAAATTGTTGGCAGCGCGGGTGATGAGGAAATTTGCCAACGACGAGTCATGCGCGGCGCCTTCATTATCGCCCCGAGAATTTTCCTCATACTTCAGCGCTTGTACCAGCTGCAAAAGGTACAAGAGCAGCTCCTCGTCGTCTGCCTTTCGGAGCCTATCTACAGCATAGGAACGAACAGCAGTATTATCGAAAGTCGGTCCGAGGAGCTCCAGTGCATCATCAACGTCAATCTCCGTCCACTTAGGAAGGATCTCTACCGCTTGCTGAGCTTCACCGGCGTCGCGCCAGTTGACCGATTTGACGAATTTGGTCAGCGCCCTTTTCTCACGGGTAAGGTAATATCGGAAACGCCAGACCAGGTCTTTTTCTTCTGCTGTAAGGTCCTGAGTTGGCTCATATGACACAATGACGTTAAGCTCGTCGCGAATCTTAGGGTTGGGTTTCAGGTCACGGTCCATGATGCCGGTCCGATGGCTTCGAATCAACCTTCTATGTTTGTCCTCACAGGGGTTACCCGTCTGACCGACTTCCGGGTCGTAGATTCGAATCACACCGTCACCATCGGCGCCTTCAATTCCTGGTCCAAAGCGGACTTCAGGAACAGGTTTTAGGGTGGCATTAGGGTTCGCCGGCGCATTTTGAGAATACGACGAGACCGGAGGGGGCGGGTACTGATGGTCAGTCCAGACGATCGGATGATCGAAGCGCGGGAACTCGATATACAGGACGAAATTCTCGTCATCTATCTCCTCCTCGTCAGAATTTACTCCGTCAGCGCCTGGTGTCTCTGGCGCTTTGTTCTTGGCCGCTTTGAGACGGATCGCCCTCTTCCTCGCAGCTTCTTCAGCGTTCAGCTTCAACTTCTCCAGTTGGCGGAAGACCATCTGATCCATCCAGTCGATTCGCGGTATCTCCCCCATCTCATGTTTCTTGATCAACACCTCCACTCTTTCCAGCTCCATTTCCTCCACTGAAGGGCCAAGAGCGTCGGAGGCATTGTTCTTGCGTCGCTTCGGCGGTGGAGTCGATGGGGTAGTCGTCGAGGAGAAGCCATCTGCTGCTTTGTGTCGATACACTTTGCACTTTTGCCGTCCCGTCTTCAGCTTACCGTCTTCATCGAACAAGGGTACTGTTGTTCCGCCGAACGGTATGTAGTGGCCGTCTGCACCTTGGCCGCCAAATGGTGAGAGATCCCAGATAGTGATAGCCAGTTGGCAGCTCAGAGGAGCATCCTTGATGGATACGGGCATCTGCAGCCATTCATTCCAGGCTCGAACGGACTTGAAAGTCTTGTACGAAGTCTGCATGGGTACACCCAGTTGCTTGGAATCTGACCATAGTTGAACCGTCACAAACAGATCGGAGGTTGGGTTCTGGATGGAGCCGATATGTCGCAGGTCCGGTCGCTTGTATAGGACTGAAAGTGGGATCTGCTTCTGCTTTCCTTCCAACGAGCCACTTTGAACCGGTTAGCTTCCTATTTCCTAGGTTCAGCGCACGTCGGGCGTTAATCCAGACGTACATCTTGACATGGATTGGAAAGTCCACCTGCGTGGAGACGGCAAATGTGAATGCCTCCATTAGTCCAGAGACCTATAGGTCCCTCATCACCAGGATTTTATCTCTTTCCTGGCAGTTCCGTGTAACAAGGAGGTCGGAGAGTCTCCAAGTAAGGTACATAGGTTAGATAAGGTCGACGACTTAGCTGTGGAGCTCAACTGGGGAAGATCGTAAGAGCATATCTGATTGGCTGCTTGTTGCATAATGACGGGAAGCAGTGTTCCTTGCCACGTGACTGTTATCGGCCAAAGGGTATGTAGTACTCCGTAGAGGGATCTTATCCGCTTTGGACAGGCACGCGTCGCGCGGGCAGATATCATTATGATGCTCCGTGAGGTATTCTGCCCCATCATTTCTACTCGATTCGGGAGTGAGACGCAGAGGTGTTGGCTCCACGGTGATAATACCACGCTTATATTGTCGCCAAATATTTTTCTCCAGGTGTAATTGTATTTTTGTCTCATCACGGTCGATTTCCGCTCTTCAGCCTCGTCGCGCTTACCGCTCTAGGCTCTATCAGATCGCTACCACGTTTCTTTGTCTGCCGTTTGTCATCAAATCCTAGCCCAAGACTATGGCAGGGATTGCGCGTGCTCGTGAGGCTGAAAGTCGATCTTCGTCGCCCGAATCCTCTTCAGATAAGGAGAACCGCCAGAACTCCTCAAGACCTCGCAAGAGGGCCCAGACTCAGACCATGGCATCGTCAGGCGCCAACGCAAAACGCCACCGACTGGCTCAGCGAGCATCCAACATCCAGGGAAGCCAATCTCAGGTGTCCCAGTCTCAGCGATCGGACAAGGATAAGAGGTACTACGATCCAGATCAGGATGAGAATGAGAGAAGGCGCATTCGCAGGGAACTTCGAGAGTTGCATCGAGAATTAAATGGTGATTCTGCTCTTTCTAGGCACTCATATAACTACAAGCATGAAGTAAACCGCATGCTCTGACACTGGTGCAGACTGCAGGAACGAGTACATGCAAGCGGGGAATATCGGAATTCGAGAGACCATCGAAAAGGCCAATGAGATCTTCCAAAACGTCAAGCAAACCTCGGATGCGACTATCGACTCTCGTCTCCTCGTCACTGCCGCAGATCTGGGGTATAAGAAAGCAGCACAGTTCACCTTGGGAGATGCGTCCGCGGGTATCGATGTCGACGAGTTCGTCTCCAAGTGTATTTCGTTTATGCGCCGCGGCCCAAGTGATCCAGACGCCGCGATATCTAGCACGCAACGTCGACGGCCCCGGCCTTCCGGCCGCAGTCAAGCAGACCCGGACGAGAGCGATGATGAGACCGGGGACGCAATGAACTGGGATTGGCTGGGGCGGGCTGCTTGCTTGCGCCATAACTCCCGGCCTCCAGTTTCTGGTTTTCTTCTGGGGCCGTTGTCGGTACAGAAGCGCACCCGTCTAGTGACACAACGACGAGCGAGGGAACGCATTGACCCATCGCAGGCAGTTCGACCACAGGAGCTCCAGGAGAAGGATCTCGACAGGCAGGAGACGTCGAACCTCACGACCATGTGCGCCAATATAAACAAATTGCTCGCGGAAACGGTAACTCATGGCCAGAATACTGTGGATAGATTACTCTCGCAGATGGAGGAGGAGCCTACGGAGGAGCTTGTCCAGGAAGTCATGGCCAAGTATCATGTTGCTGATGACGGAGGAGTACCTCTTTTTCACTTTTGCATAAACCCAAGGTCGTTTGGGCAAAGTGTGGAGAATTTGTTCTATGTCAGCTTCTTGGTACGAGATGGGACTGTTGGATTATCAACCGACAGTCGGCAGTTACCCACTCTACGTAAGTTCCCTGCGGGTCTACTCCTGTGTGGCTTGTGGAGCTAACCTGCTCGACCCCTAGATCCCTCGAAACCGTATGCCCCGAGTGAGGCCCAGAAAAAGGGGGTCCAGAAACACCAGGCTATCTTTAGTCTCGATTTTGAAACATGGCGCCAGCTCATTGATGTATATGATATCAAGGAGTCTATAATCAAGCATCGCCCCGAAGAGCCGTCACAGTCGACGGGCGGTGGTTGGTACAGTTGAAAGGCACCTGTCCTTTTTCGTGTCAGATGTGTGGTTATTGTATAGAAGCGATACCCATGTTGTTTTGGATGTTATATTCATCTTGAAGCTGCAATGAATTGAACTACACATTCAAATATTGTGATATAGACCCGACGATAGCCTGACTAGACCTCGTGGCATTGCTGCTAGGAGGGGGGCAACCCAGATCTGCACCCTGAAGTGTAACCGAGTCTCATGGCATCAACACGGAGCAAATATAAATTAAGATCGTATGTCAGTGGCTGATACTCCTGAAAAGTCTTGGTTTATTTGAGCTTAATTCTATATGTTGGATTTAAGCTATGATCAATTCTCCGATGGAAGATGTACCGACGTCATTGCCACCCCACCAGAAACTGTCAGCTCCAACAGCTCATGTCATGCAACATTTGCTGGATTTCTCGTAGTTCACCAGATTCAATTGACAAGCTTCTTCTTAAGAAGCTCGCCGTTATAGATGAAATTGATATCTTGCTTCGAATCTGAACTACTACCTTGATCCTGATTATCCAAGGCACACATTGAGTACATGTGATAGAAAGCGCAATTGAGCTCTGGCCCGAATTGCCATATATTTTCGGCTGCTCAAACAAAAGAAAACGCGCCTATCATGCCTCGACTATTTCCATCCAACCCAGAAGAGGTGATGGTGATCCGAAATGTCACCTCCGACATCATCACCCTGAGTCTGCCATTCGCACGATTTGGCCGTCTCAAGTTTGGCGCGCGGGGAACACTGGGTGAGTCCTGTCAAAGACAGTATCATCAATTTCAACCAGCTGACCAAGTTTGAACAGTCAAACTGCCCTCGGGCTCCCTCGCCGTCTTCTCTCCGGTCAGCCTCACGCCCCAAGTTCGCGAGATGATCTCCCAGATGGGCCAGGTGAAATACATCGCCGCACTAGATCTCGAGCACCACATCCACCTCACCCCGTGGAAAGAAGCATACCCCGAGGCCGAGATCATCGGCCCGGAAGGCCTCTGGGAGAAACGGCAGTCGAATCCAGAGTATAAGAACACGCCCTTTTCGCACATCTTCCGGAAAGAGGACCAGCATAAGGGATCCCGCAAGATCTCGGAGGAATTCGACGCGGAGTTTGAGTCCGAGTACGTGTACGGACATCCGTCGCGGGAGCTAGTCTTCCTACATAAGCGGTCGCGCACACTCATCGAGGCGGATCTCATGTTTAATCTCCCTGCTCGGGAGCAGTACTCGCGGACGAAGGAGGGCGCGACATCGGGGATCATTGCGAAGATTATCAACACCGTGATGTCGGCTGAGCCACCGGCGACGTGGCAGAAGCGGTTTGCGTGGTATATTTTGTCGAGTGCGGATCGGAAGGCTTTTACGGAGTCAATGAGGAGGATCGATCAGTGGGATTTCAATCGGTTGATTCCGTGCCATGGGGATATTATTGAGAGCGGTGCTAAAGGGAGTTTCCGTACGGTCATGGAATGGTTCTTGGAGAATAATCGACGAGGTTCTACGTGACAAAATTGGTTTACCGTTCTGGTTTACTGGTAATCCTTGATCGTGTATTAGTAGGCTTCTAACCTCTACCTTATAATTTACAGCAATTTCTTGAAAGCCGAGTGAGTCTATCAATAAACCATTTCAGCGAACGCTGCGCAGTGCGTGCTGAATTAGCTCTATTATCGCTCATGCCAAGGTATAGAGGCAGAGCTACGTCGACGGCGTTAGGGCTGGAGGGAGACTGAAGGTCAGGTGAAGGTCAGACGATCCAGGCTGCTGCATTTTGTTTTCTGGATGACGTCAGACAGCAAGGAGTCTTGGATTTATTTCGTCATCCAAACAAAAACAAACTTCAACCCAAGATGGTTCAGATTATATCCCTGAGGTAATAAGGGACTCGGTGTTTTACAGGAATTGCTATTATGTCGACTTAGAGCTCGAAATGAATGGAAACAATAACCCAAACCCGAAATGAAGCTGAGAAGATCTCCGGTATGCTTTGAGAAGAATTTCCCGAAATGGCCTAGTAGTGGATCTGGTGGAGAAGAGCTCTCAGCCTTAGTTGTGGCACTATCAATTGTAGACAATGGTCCAACCCTACTTATAATGCAGTCAATTCTTGCAGTTATCCTTGTTCGAATATCTGGAGAGCACTCGTTAAAGACTTAAGTTTGAGGACAACGCATGATGCCTTGGAGTGGCCACACCAATCATCACCCAAATGAGCGGTCAACCGGCCCCGATCACTACTGAAGTCGACGTTAGAGTTGCTCAAGATTCAATGATTGTCTGTGCCCAGAAAAGTTGGGCAGACCGGAGGATTTTTCAGGCAGCCAATCGTTTTGAGAACAAGATGTCGTGCCCATGCGATGATGGCAAAGATGGCAGAGCCGACACCGAAGGACATGGAAAAGGCGGACAAACAAAGTCTAGTACTTGCGATGATCGTCACCAGGTGTGACGACTGCGCCGGGCGAAGCTTTTAAACTGCACTGCCTCCCTTTTTATTTACTTTTCCCCTTTCCTCTTCTATTAAACGCTCTGTACAGTTCGTCCTCACTCAGTCTACTCTCAAACCATCGTCCATAATAACAAGGCCTCGAAGTCATTCGTTGTCAAAAAAGGACCACATCTTCTCAACAACCATCAAATTCAATAATCTCCCATATCACAATGCCTGTCATTTCGCGTCTAGTCTCCATTGTCCTCCGTGTCGCAGAGATCGCCTTTGCTGCGGTATGCACCCCTGACCGTTCAAATGATTGGAGCGCAACTGACTCTACGGTGATTCAAGGTCGTCGCAGGCATTATCGGCTACTATCTGCATCAGTTCTCGGATATTGATGCATGGCCACAAGCACGGTGGATCTACACTGAAGTCGTCGCCGGCTTATCCATACTCCTCGGTCTCATATGGCTGATACCTTTCTCTTCTGGCTTCTTCTCTTGGCCATGTATGTCTGCTTTCCTTGCTCTGTTGCGCACTATGATACATTGTCGCTAACAAGGAAAATCTACAGTTGATGTGGTCATTTCTTTCGCTTGGTTCGCCGCTTTCGGCATTCTCGTCGATGCCATCCACAAGTTGAACTGCGGCAGTATCTGGCACTGGCATTTTGACACCTACAGCACCAACTCCTGTGGTCGTTGGAAGGCCGCCGAAGCATTCAGCTTCCTCTCCGCCATCGTGTGGCTCGCCTCCGCTCTTGTGGTTCGTATCATGAAGTCTGCAACCACTGATTCTGATTCTGACAGCATCTGCTAGGGCATCTGGTTCACCTTCCGCGTCAGGGGCGCCAACGCTGATGGCTATTAGTAAGTTGACTGCGTCGACAAATCTAAAATATGGCATTCTAACATGTTCTACAGTGGCCGTCGTCGTTTTGGCCGCTCTGCCGTCTAGTCGTTTCTCGGTCTTTGATCACAATAACACTGTGTGCCCTTGCCTCGGGCATCGACCTGCAGTGGACGGTTAAATCTATCAAACATTCGACAACTTTGGGCAAGCGTTCCTTACAGTGCCAACTTACGACGACTACAATCTTTAAGACCCCTGAACATACTTACTGTACCCCTTTATCAAGGCTCACGTAGGGAAATACCCTGGTGGGCAACGAGTCGACGATCTTTAATTGGTTATCTGCTGATTTGATACCCTCTTGTGTGCTAACGATTCATGTGGCATGTTGATGACATACTGTTTTTGCTCCTTCGAGGTCATATCCTCTGTGTGATATATGCACTTAATATAACTTTGCCATTCATGCTGATTGTTTTCATTGCACAAAGAATAATGTATGAGTCAAGACGGCACGGTGTGTAGTTACTCCGTAGTATGGGTGAGTATATCTGACTAAGGTGGGCCCGCCCTCACCAACTTTGCCGTCTTACTTGATCTCCCTCCGCGATACCCATTCTATCATGGATAGGAATCGTAGAGTCAAAGATGCTATCAGGCCAGGAGTCCTCCTCAATCTCAAGCTCTGGAAATTCATCTCCCTATGAGAAAGTCCCTCGTGAAACCCAGGAGTACCCACTGGATATCCTCCACCATGAAGGAAGTTCCGAGGTCAGCCACTTTATGCCGGTAGCTCGCGGGAGCGCCGATTCGGCACGAGCCGGTCAGGAATACTGCACGAGGGAGCCGCTCTTGCCAGTCCATGAGCATCAACAACAAAATCGCCCATCTTCAAGGCGGTTTTCGTGTTCCGTATCTGCAATTCGGGCGTGGGTACTGGGGCCTTCGCCCCCTCATACATATCAGATCAGACCTTTGCTGCCCCGCTGGCAGACGGCGCCGGGCCGTTTGGTGGATAGATTCTTTCCCAGTACTATCAGCAAGGTCTTGCTTCTTCTGTCTTGCCTGGCTTTCTGGGGAGTAGTTTTCATAGCGTCGCTACAATCGGCAATTGCCAGCTCGGATGTAACGGGTCATGGGCAGCCCGTTAAGCTATCCTGTCACAGTCGACTATGGTAAGCTACGGCCATTCTCCACCCTCACAAACAACGCACGCTGATGATATAGGTCAAATGCGACCAACTGTGGTCTAGACGGTGACGCATGTCGTCCGTTTGATGACGGCGCATTTGCGTTCCGCTGCCCTGCGACCTGTTCGGCTGCAATGGTTCTCGAACCATACTTCATTGGCCCGCAGGAGATCAATTACCGGACTCTGGTCATCGGTGGTGAGCTCGGGGGTGGAAATGGCAGCGACTACGGTGTGTATCGCGGTGACTCTGCCATTTGTCCTGCTGCGCTACATGCGGGACTCATTAGTGATGCCAAAGGCGGCTGCGGGGTCCTTCGTCGGACGGGTGAACAGTCCAATTTTCTATCTGTAGAGAGGAACGGTATCTCAAGCATTGCATTTCCTTCCAATTTTCCCTTGTCCTTCACTTTTGATGGGAATAGGTCCACAGAAGACGGGCGGCTTGACTGCCAGGACATCCGCTGGTCGCTGTTCGCCTTCTCTGTGGTGGTCTCAGCATTGCTCTCACTTTCCAT